TGTGCTTTCTATATTTATATTTCTTCACTTAGGGCGGTTATGTTAGTTTAAGAGTCCTTGTAAAATGTGCTCTATAGTTAAAACTAATGTCCAAATATCTGTATCTCACTTCAATTCTCAATGACCGTGTAGTGTAGGGCAGCGCCACGAGAATTCCATCGGCATCGAAAGCAAGTTTTTTGACTTGCCTACATAGCCAAGCGGTCTAGCGCACTGTTCCTGCACTGCTACGAATAAGATTCCGAAGGTCGAGAGTTCAACCCCGGGCTGGTGCGGAAGTGGGTCTCTACGTAAATGTGAATTTCTTTGTGCTATATATATATATATATTTGTTGATTTTTTTTAAGAAAAATGGATTTTTTTTTTATTTTAGGAAAATAAATAATTGCAGCTGCCATTCCCTGTTTACATTTTTTTTCAGGGATCTAACTGAAAACAGAATAACCACAACAGATGATGATATGTTCAATGGATTGACGAACTTTGAATATTTGTAAGTTTGTTACCTAGATATATATAATGGAATAAGACTTCTCCAAACTATGATATCCCCTGTTGTTATATATTATATTTTATTCAATTATTTGACAAAGTTATAGAAAACTTTAATATCGATATCATTATGTGATTTATTTGCATATCAATTGTACAACTATAAACTATAAAAAGGTTTTTAAAACGAAGCTTCCCAAACCCATCTTAAATTCCGTTTGACATTTTTAATGTAGAAGGAGTTATTTTCCTGATTATTAACACTTCCTTGTACATTTCTTGAAGAATGTTCGGAAATCGATTGCTTTTGATTGGACGTTGTGCATCTTTTCAGATATTTGGCCAGGAACAGAATTACTACGATGAAGAACAGCATATTTACCGAATTGAGGAAGTTATCTTACTTTTAAGCTTTTTCTTAAACATTTATATCTTTTTGGATTATCAATCCACAAAAGTATAATATTCCGTGGTTGATTCAATAAATCAAAGAACAAAAAATATCGTCTTAAATACTTTTTCGTTAAAAAATTAACGTTCAACCAAACATGAATAAAAAGCATCATGATGGAATGCCATGTAATTCACTTGATATTTTTTTTTTATTTGTGACAAGCATATACATTAAACTTTTGTCAGATTCAAAGCTTTAAGTAAGTCAATGTGAGTTATGTTGTTCAGATTGACGGATAATTAAGTTGAGGCTGACAATGTTAAAGTTTGATATGGATATTTTACAACCAAGCTTTATTATTATCCCTGCGAAATGATCAAGAATAATTCTTGAACTTTAAAGAAAAGTTCATGAATTATATTCTTGAATCAGCTCATGAATTGTTCATGAAGATCCCATGAAGTTAAAATTGGACACTCATGATTTCATGGATTTTATTCATGAAAACCCAGTTCAAGAATATTCAAGAACTATTTGTTGTTCATGAACAAACTTGGATTTTTTAAATGCCTGCAAAATAATCAAGAATAATTCTTAAACTTTCAAGAAAAGTTCATGAATTATATTCTTGAACTTTCAAGAAAAGTTCATGAATGATATTAATAGGTTCAATGCATTTTCATGAACTATTCATGAATGATTTGTAAAAGTTATTTAGGAATGTTCATGAACTATTCATGAATGTTCTTGCTTTTTGTAAACAAAAATGTAATAAGTTATGAAAAATGAAAAACTGTAAAAGAAAATATTTTACTAGCATCTTGAAAGATTTCACAGAATTTTTGTTTTCCAATCATGGTAACGAAATCTTTGTTCAAGTAAACAACTCTGGAAAGTGACAACGATAATAAATAAATTATGTAGTTCATTCCTAGTAAAATTATGAAAAATTTCAATTCAAACTCGACTCTTTGCAGAATCCTTAACCTTAGTGGCTTACTTGGTCAAGAGGAAAGTGGCTTTCTTATTCAGTGTATTTCAAAGTGTATGCCTAAAATGGAATGATTTTTAATCCAAGTCTCACTGTCTGGCAGAAAAGTGTGTTCAGCAATTAGGGCATCAGCTAAAAGGGCTTTCAAGGATTTTGAGCAGAGGTGGTCAAATAAAAAAATCTTATTGGCTTTCCCAGGAGTGTGGAATTTTCAAAATTTCATCACTTGGATCCTTTGATCGATTACGATTCATATTTTCATTCCTTTCTTTTGTTTTTCTTCAAGAGCCTGGATTTTTTATATTCTTTTTTTGGAAGCCAGAGTTTTTTAATCTTCTGATCTCAACTCATAAACATTATCTGTGAACTGCTTCTCTTTTCCCTACAAGAATAAAGATTTTCTGAAAATGCTCATAAATGTGAAAACTTCATACTTAATTGGTTTTTTTTTTTTTTTTTTTTGCATATTTGTTTCATTTAATTTTACATCATAGGCACTGCCATATTTTAAAGCATTCCGAGCGGGAGTTTAGCCTGTTTCCCTTGCCCGCCATGTTCAAGATGTTATAGGTGAACAGGATGAATGTTTCAATCTTTAATTATTAAATCATCATAATGTAACGTAATTTGGTTGGATCCTTACTCATAACAAAGTTTGACAAAATTTTCATTAAAAAGGACATAAGTGAACTCTTACAGATAGACAGTAACATCTTGACAAATATCTCACAGATTCAGCGATTGCCTTTATTTTTTTGTAACTCACCACTAATATCTGCAGTTATGAAGTAAACTGATCCTCTGGATATTCTTTCTTCGTATTCTGTTATTTTCTTCAAAGGTTGACAAAGAATGACTAGATCTACGCTAATAATCATCCAACTCTACCGATTTACTTTCCAACGTCTCGCGCGTTTCAAAGTTTGTGCCTTTTAAAAAGTGTCATGCAGAGCTAATTAAGAAATAGTTTCGAATTGCCAAGATTTTTGTTAAACAAAAAATAACAAACACTATCTGAATGATTGTTCACTGAAATTAATTTTTTTAAATTAATATAAGTTATATCATTTATTGAACTGGATTTTTTTTACATTATACCTGTAGAGCCATAGTTTCGTATTCAAGTATGGCCGCCTCCATATCAGAGGACAACAAATATCTCTTGGAACCACTCGCCCTCAAACTGAGTACCCTGAGCTATGAAAGTGTATAGGAGAATAGACTACAAAATACGAATGTGGTTCATGTCATAGCTTCTTCACAACCATGCAGTCTGTGCTGTATCATTTCATCACGATGGACAGAAAAATGTGACTTTATAACTGCAACAAAATATAAAGCTTTTCGACCCAAGAATGGTACCGTACAGTACGGACAAGAGATATAATTTTTTAGTTGTCAATAAATTTATGTTACATTTTTACGAAGATTATGAAATTTTTCCTAGACTGTTAGTCTGTTTCATTTTCTTACAACTTGTTAAAAGTTTGACAAATAGAGAAAATTCGGTCGAACAAAGTTGTGTCGTGAAAAATGAGATAATTTAAAGCACAATATTAATATAGCTGGCCTGTGAATTTAAATGATGAAGAAACATTAGTAATTCAATATGAGAAAAAAATGTTGTCAATATTGATGCAGTATTTTATAAATTAATCATAATTTAATTACATTCTCCCTTCTAGACAGTTCATAACAGAGTTTATTATCCTGAAGAATCTAAGTTATCAATTACATAGAGTAGAAAATAGTGATTTTAACCTCTTATGATCCCATACTTTCAAAATCAAAACAAAAGCATGTTATTAATCAAATCAGGGGCTTGTTCAACAATTGCATATGCATACAAAAGTTGTATTATGGGAGTAATAAGTGTTTTCTGGCGATCGTTTGTGACAATAATTTTTACATTTTTAGTCTTCATGAAAATTCATGAACATTCATTACCTTGAACTATTAAGTTTTTTCTTTAAACTGAAAATTACCAATATTCATATTTGTTCATCATTTGTTCATGAACTATGAATTATGAATGTTTTCATGAATTTTATTCATGAACTACTTTTATGAACCTGTTAAGAATCCTTTAAGAACCATTCATGAACAATTATGAACAACTCATAAAGGTTCTTAAAATCATGAGTATCATTTCGCAGGGGTAACACCTTCATCACCTATATGTGGGGTCTTTCTGTCATTTAATTCGATACGCAAGCTATACTGATGAACAATGTCTAGAAAGAGGTAAATTGGTAACAAACTACATGTAGTTGTTAAAACAAGAAAATAAGCAGTCCCCGTTTACATTCATCTTTTCGTTAGTTTTACGGTTGATACAATATCCTTGTGAGGAGTTAAATGCTGACTAGTGTCTTCAAACTAATTGTTGGGCCATCATTTACATACTTAATTGTTTCCGGATTTTACCGCTATTTCCCAATCATGGCAAGTAGGCTATAAAAAAAATGGAAAAAAGAAGGCATTTTCATTTCATTTCTGTAATACTTCTGAATACAAACTTCAAATGTATGTAGGAATAAACAGTTGGAACACTTTACATGTTGATAAGACAACAGAATAAAAGAAATAAACAGTATAATACAACAAGTGAGGAGACCTTTAAGCTTTCGTAGATACGCGTTCCAGTAAAACTCGGTTAGCATGAACACGGATATTGCGAATTTACGGATATAGCAAATTTGTTTTGGATCTCCAGCTATGTAAATTTAGCAAATTTCTTATACGGATATAACGAATTACGGATATAGCGAAGCAATTTCATAGGGTCCCAGTGACTTCGTTATAACTGAGTTTTACTGTATTCGCTTAATTTATTCTAAATAACTGATGATTATATTAATTGAACAATCTATGGATTCAAACGAAGTTAATGTTGGATGCATTATTCAGATTGTCTGATAAATATGCCAAGGATTTACGCATTTAGATTATTATAACCTTGTTTACATCATGAGCCGATTACTTGTAAAAATTATTCAAGTGATCAATTCTGATGAATAACTATTATGTTATTATGATTTTTCCTAATGAATAAAGTAAAACTGTTATGAATAAATGAGGGTGAAAAAAACTTGATTCTTCGATCACATTTTTTTTTTCAGGAATTTAGGCGACAACACCATAACGACAATAGAAGACAGTGCCTTTAGAGATTTGAAAAATTTAGGGAGACTGTAAGTTCTTTATTTAAAATATTTTTGGAATTATCATAATTATTATCCAAACTATAATATCCCAGCTTTTATTTCATAAATTTATTTAACAAAATTAGGGAGATTGTTGGTTCATTGTTAAAAAATAGTTTCGTATTGTCAATCATCAAATTCATAATATCTCATTTACAAAGTAATAATTCCATGCATGAAAGTATCGTCTTAGTTATTATTTTTTACCCCATGCTCAATTCTTTTAAAGTGTAAATAATTTCGAATGGAAATCTCTGATCGACTTTGATATGTTATCAATTCTGTCAATATTTGCATAGAAAGTTAAATAATAAATGTTCCTGACATAATATTTGAATGTTTATTTTCTAATTATAATCCATGTGCAGCTAGGTTAAGTACTCCCTTAGGTACATCGGTTTATGCAGAGCTTTGAGAATTCAATTATGACGTCACAGTAGTCACAGTAAAACTGTTAAAATGAATATCGGCAAATAAATACAATTTTTTTTTTCATACACTCTTACATCCAGTCATTTCTCAAGTTCAAGTTCATTCATTCACTCAAAACCATTCAAAATACATATTGGCCGAACTCGGAAGAGACACCATACATGCATATGCAATAGTAGAATTTCAATTAAATAAAAGCTAATGCTAAAGAAAATAATATCAACTTTGTATGTATATTGATTTTCACAGATTACTTTAAGATGCATTTCCTATTGGCGGTCTTAACCTACCTGTGTGCTTAATCAAATCAAAATATTTATTTTTTACACATGGAAATCACATTTTGCTTATGTATATATTGCCTTGTTCAATTTTTAAAGACAAATGTATATTGCATTTAAAAATTAGTAATTAATTATAATTTACAAATTAGCAGTTATAATTATACTCAGTTTATTGAAATAAAAACGGCCATTTCATCAGATGGATTGAGCTTAGGTCTGCCATGAACGTTCAGTTTTTTAAAATTTTATTTCAGGGATCTGAGTAAAAACAAGGTAACTACCATTAAAAACATAACAATAAGCGGGTTGACAAATCTACAGCAAATGTGAGTATCTCAGAGGAGGATAACTACAATAAAAACACCACAATAAGCGAGTTGACAAATCTTCAACAATTGTAAGTACATTGCAATAAAAACATCACAATAAGCGGGTCGACACATCTATAACAAAATTAATGTAAGTATCCCAGGATAAGAAAATCACCATAAAACATCTCAATAACCGGGTTGATTAATCTTCAACAAATATAAATATTAGTGTTGGCAAATCGGACGACTTTTAGTAACCGTTACTCGCTCAATCTTCCGATCGAGTACCCGCTTACTCGGATGATTCAAAACTCATATATCGTTTATCTCATCCTACAGTCATCGGTAGTATTTAATTTATTAATTAGAATTAATATATTGTGAATGAACTTTATTTATAAATTAAAGACACACTCGCACGCTCTATATTGAAAGAATTTTAATATTAGCGTTAAAAAAAAATAATTAAATCAGAAGAAGAAAATCAAATATTCGACATTTCACGCTATTTTACAATGGCGTCCATCACATTTACTTTTCGAATCTTGATATATGTCGTAATCAAGGAGAACTATTATTTGCAAATTTGAAGTCACACACGTACATGTAAACTTCAATTCAAATAAATTATATTTTACAGGTATCAATTCAACTGTTCTTTTAAATACTTCCAAGCTATATGTTTTTGGCGGCACTTTGTTAAAATATGTAATTATACACGGCAGGTCTTCAAAACTTGTATAACCGTGTTATTAACTGTGTAACTTGTATTAACTGTGAAAACTAATCAAAATAAATCGATCATATTACGAAACACTAGATCATGAAGTCTAACGATAGATTAGAGAAATGCTTATGCTTACTTATAAAAAGAAATTAACATTTATTTTTAGTTATTTACTATATAGGATGTATTTCAATCCGAGTAACCGAATAGTAGTTTAACTAACCGGTACTCGCATCGTTCGACGGTTAATCGGTTAACCGGGTACTCGTAGCCAACACTAATAAATATCTAAGAAATTGGTAACTACATGTACAGTAAAACATTACAATAAGCGGGTTGACAAATCTACAACAAATGTAAGTATCTCAGAATAGGATAAATACCATCAAACATCACAATAAGCGGGATGACAAATCTACAAGAAATGTGTATGTATCTCAGATTAGGATATCTTAGCTTGAACTAAAAAAACTTATTATAAAACAAAACATCGATTTCTCATAAAGATGGACTGGTATTTATGAATTCAGATTCCTGTTTTCATTATTTTATCCAGGAAATTACATGATAATCCTTATCACTACGATTTTGAGTTATTAGGCCTGATCGATTTCCTAAATTCTGGACGTGTCATCGTACCCGAAAACCCACGTTGCTTCACTCCTGGGAATTTGAAAGGAACTGAATTGGTCACTCTGTCAGCTGCAAACTTGGCCTGTCCCAAGATAACCAATTCTTCACCTTTGAAAGAAGATCTGTAGAATATCATGGGATAAAATATCGTAAATCTGGAATTTTTATTGTAGATAATTTTTTAGCAAATTTGCGCGTGCATTGCATTCGCAAAAAATATCTTTTTTAAAAATAAATTAACATGTGAAGATTTTTTTTTCCAAGAGCTTGTGTCATTTTTTTAATTCACTGAATAGGCGTCGGTAAGCTCTGGTCATTTTTAAAAGAAACCTGTTTATACTAGCCTCCTAAACTATAAGTAACAGCTTATTACCCGTGCATGTAAATTACCCTATATAAAATATCGTCCGATGGTTCGACAAGCACTGAGGGTATGTCCCTTTTTAATTATTTTCAATTATTTTGCCAATAAAGAGAGAAATGCTATGTTATCTAACCGTATATCAACACGAGCGATAACTCGAACTCAGTGCATTTACTAGAGAGTTCCATAAGTAAACACGGCGTGTACATTTTAGGTTAGAAAAAACCAAACGTTGAGAAAATAAGCTATATTCATTTGTATTATATTTTAGGTTAAAACGCATACACAAGCTCTAAAATCTTTGTTATAATTGATTTAGAAATTATTGTCAGTGCAATTCCTTTTGTATTTTTATGAAAATTGTTTCAGAGCAATTCTGCAATTTCTTTCCACGTTTCGAGTACAGTGGCGTGCCAAAAGTGAAGATAATTTTATTTTTTTCTCTATATATTTCATTGAAAACAACATTTTGTAAAATCATAGGTAAATGGTCAATTTTTGTCCAATTCAATTATTTATTTCAGAACTTAAACCAGAAAATGTGTAGTTATCTTTCTTTAAAATATCATTACATGTTTAATATGTAGTAAAATATAGTTCATCACTAAACATCAGTTCTAAAATTCAAGATCAATGTTGACTATATAATTCATTGTGAATATATGACTTAAAAATTCATGTCACACTTGAATTACAATATTTTTAAATTATCAATGCTTATCAGACAAAAACTATTGTTGTTTTTGACTACAACAATTTCTTGGATTATCAAGAAATTTTTGATAAAATCTGTCAAGAAATGTTGTCATACCAGCAATTTTACAAAATATTGTTTTCAATGAAATATATAAAGAAAAATTAAAATTATCTTCACTTTTGGCACACAACTGTATATTGGTGGTATTCTACATGTAACTGTGCATATTAAATTTTAAACATACCCTGATGTGATTTTATTTTTAGCGTCAGTGACAATTCGCAAAATTTTGAAGCGTAAAAATTAATGAATATCTTTTTGACCCAAATTTGCAAAATATAAATCGACGTAAAAATTTCCAGATTTACGGTAGTCATGTTTGTTTGGGGTATAGATGTGTAGATTGTAGGATAAGATAACACCTGGTCTAACATTCTTTTATTTACAAATCTGGTAAATCCTAGATAAAAAAAATAAACATAGAGGAGATTAAGTAATAAAACTTCCACTTTCATTTGTTAATACTTAAGAACAGATGATACAAACAAACTTTTGTCAAAGAATTCGAAAAATACAACTTGAGTCATGTTTAAATGAACGAAATGAAAAACTGCCACCGCGTAGTTTTAAATTTTTTATTCAAATTTGCACAAAAATGGAATTTAAAGTGAAAAATATTTATATAGATTAATAAGGATGGTTTCAGAAGGGCACACTTTTGAACATCACAGAAGGTTTACAATTTCTTTATATTCTAGAAATTTATAATTTGTATCATTTGCAATGAAATTAAGCCAAAAGAGATGTACCAATCCAGGCATCCATTTTTGTTTGCATCATTTATCCTTAAGTAAGATGTATTCTATAAAGGTCGATAAAAAAACAAATTTAAAGATCCTATTTGAACTATCTCAATTAAACTTGAGAAGGATCTTAAAGGCAATTACGTCTAGAGTGTCTTGAACAGACCTATTCAACTTTTTGTTTCTCAAAAAAGAACTCAAAACTAACCATTTCATGAAAAAAAAGATTTAATAGTAATATCAAAGGTGTTAATTGATGGATTATAACAATTCCTTTTGTTCTTGGATTAGACAATTAACTGTTGCCGTTCAGGGGTTTTCTCCCTTGAGACAACCTGTGGGTCTCCCAATTCTGTATATTGAACAAAAGAACTATGAGTCAGGATTAAAGTGTATAAAAATTTATTAATGCTTGTTGTATTTAATTTGCACGATCTCTTTGAATAATTATCCCTATTTCTTACTCCCGTAGAAATATTGTTTCTCTCCCAGAATGGGAATAAAATATTCTTACATGGGAGAATTCTGTTTTAAGGAATTGTATATATAAATTTACAAAAGCATAAAAGTATTTATCTTTTCCCAAAATATTGGGAGTTCTTTGCTATACGATTATATAGTCAGGTATAGTTATGGGAGAGTTATTTTACCTCCCACTAATTTTCTCTCACAGGCCAATTCAATATAAATAGTAAAAAGTAACAATAAAATATGATACAAAATTCATCAGCTCCCAAAAATTAATTTATTAATTATGTCATGATAATTACCCAACAACTATCGCTCCCAGCCATGCTGGCGATACGATGATAGCAGTCGTACTTAACCTATTCTAAACCTATTCTGACTGTCTGTCGATTTGCGCTGGCTTGTATTGGCATCGGGCTCGATTGTCGTGACGTCACGACAAAGTGAAAATACCCGCCATGCTTGTTAGTTGATATGCTGCCATGCCGATCGAACTGACGAAAGAAATACGCACCCTAGGGAGCGGATAATTACCAAGGGAAACATTCATAATACTTATCGGTGATGGACTTCGTAAGCATAAACAACACAATCATAAACAGTTAAAGCGTGACTTGGGAATGTAAGATGTCGAGGAAATTCGGGCGTCACTAATATTACCGACCTCGTCCCAATTCTACACTTGGTAAATATAATGTTGTTGATGAAATTAAACATACAATAAATTAAAGATGAATTTGTCATTTTATGGACCAGTATATATTGCAGGGAGTTTTTGTTTAACTTGTACTATGTATTTCCACAGAAAATGTTACTTATATAATAACGGGAATAATTACGGAACCGTAACATAACAAAAGTAATAATTTTACATAACTGAAATGAAACGTTAATTTTTTTTTTTTTGGAAGATCCATAGGCCAACTGTAGCGATACACGCCAAATATTAGAACATACAGTTTTAGACTAATTCAGTTTTATTTATTTTAAGCATTTAAATGTTCATTTTACTTCTTGGTTTATTTAGATAATTTTAAGCGAATTAAAGAAATAGAATATAATTTTGTATTTCCAGTACAGCCTAGGTTAAAGAAAGCATGTTAGTATTTAGTGGTATTCCCCAGTCAAATCTGGTACATACTTTATTTAGATTAGCAGAAACTAGGAAGAAAGGGAAAAACAATGAATCATCCACTTTTGTAAGCTAAGATATTTTATTTAGTCTTCTGCAATGAAAAAATTACATCCTCTGTCCTCAAGTATCTGAAATATTCGAAAGGTAAAGGTAACGAACATAATTGAAGGAATAAAAAAAGATATAGGCCTACTGAAAAGTTAAAGATTTTTTTTTGTTTCACAAAGCATTTTTGAGACTTTGTTTTTATTATCATATATATTAGTTTATTTCATATAATTATGGTCTGATATATTGTGCTTAAGGATATCGTATGAAATATTGATACTTGTAATACAGTTAACTTGGGTTATCTATTTTTTTTTTACTTCGTCGTGCAGTAAGCGTCATGCAATGTTTGTCGTGTGTGAACATTTGAACATTTTCAGTTTTTTAATTATTTGCAACTGGTAAACTAATTGAAAAAAAATAGCATTAAGCAATAATTGGTTAAAGGAACAAAAATCATTAATATCATGGTCTCTCCCCCCCCCCCCTCCCCCTTGGGTCTGAAGGATGGAGCCAAGACCACTTAATTAATGCAATCTTTTTTGGCATGAATGTGATGAACATCAAGTACTCAAATTGTTGGTGTAATCGAGTCGAATCAGCATTGATTCCTCTAACGAAATTTTGAAATTTTGAAATTCATGGACCCGAATTAGGGGTTCTATTGCTAGAGCAGGCTATATGGATTTCATAGTGAAAAAGCATTATTTCTTTGATTTTTTTTTCTTTACTCTTGGGTATTAAATAAACCAACCAAGTACATATTTATGTTGAATAAGGCTGCCTTTTTCAAAAAGTTGTGAATTTAATTGCTTTTGGTTTACAAAGCAACCGATTTCAACTGTTACAAAGTTGTTACAAGATACTCAGGTCACCTATAAGGCAAGTGGACCTCTTTTTTGTAATGCATGATGGATAAGTAGCTTCTTAGGCATATTGTAAAAGGACAAGATAGGGTAACAACCGAATCTGGCCCCTTATTTGATATAAAAATCAAAACACTGGTAAAATTTCGATAGTTTGTAGTTAAGAAACTAAAATGATTCTAACTTTAAGAAAAGCACTAATTTTGATTCAAAGCTTACATGGAAGCCACTAGAGGGTGCAGAAATAGGACATTTTCTCGAATGTTCTCAATTCTGGTGGAATTTCATCATATTTGGGATACATTTCTCTTCGGAAAACAGAGAGCACAAGCTTGCCTATCTGAGATTTTTACACATATACTGCATCTGATATTAGTGTATAAAATATATAAATTGGTAGATAGGCAAGCGTGTGCTCTAAGTTTTCCGAAAGAAAATATGCTGTAAAAATTAATGAAAACTTGCATAAAAATGAGAAATTTTGAAAAATGACCTATTTCCTGACCTCACTGTGACCCCTGTATATTCTAAATCTTAAAACCTACACTCATTTTGTGGCAGGGATGAAATGTAGGTTTTCATGGATAAACTGTTGGATCATTCAGAAAGACACCCAAAATCGGGGGCTAAATACTGGTCTTACCCTATTTTGTCCTTTATCGACAATACAATGTATATTTTACTTTTAGAGTTGCAATAAATTAATTATTTAGGTATGAAGAATAACTTCATGAAAATTTATTACAAATGTAAAACTAATTTGTTATTGTAGTTTC